CCCCCGCCCCCCAAGCCCCAAGCCTCAGCCCAGTGACCTCGTTGCTCTCATGCACTTCGTGGTCGATGAGCTGCAGCAGGAACCACATGATATTTCGCAGGATAAAGGTGGTGATGAGATTCCAGTGAATCACGTTCCGCAGACAGCGGATACTCCTGTGGGAGGCCCAGGTCAGGGGTCAGCCGGGGACGGGGAGTCGGCGGAGATGGGCTCTGCCCGGGGTCAGGGACCAGCGGGAATGGCGCCTCCCAAGGCCAGGTAGAGACTCCACCGGGGTGAAGGCAGGTCTGCACCAGGAGCCACATTCCCACCTGTGGCGGCCATGGCTGGGTCACTCAGTTCCCCTTTTGCATCCTGCAGGCCTGCCACAGGTTGGTGACCTGGCACCTCCCCCGCACTCCTGTCCACTGGCTTCAGGGCCCTCAGAGTGGAGGCGAGAATGTCTGGGAGGGGTGAAGGGGGTGCTGTGGGGGGAGGGGCAGGGAGAAGCGGCCGTGGGTAGGGATGGACTCACCGCAGAGCCAGGAAAAGCAGGAAAGCGGCCACCAGGGCTGCCACAGAGACGCAGTGGCCCAGGTAGTTGACAACGAGGGCGACGTGGTAGTGTATGTCGTACTTCCTTTGCTGGACAGACAGACACGTACACAGGCAGACGGAGGCACGGGGCGCATGAAGGTTTGGCTGGGCACTCTAGCTATGGCCACCCTGCGTGTCCTGACCTTGGAGGCAGAAGTGGCTTCAAGTGTCATCATCACACCTGGCTCCCAGGGCTCACGCCTGTTGGCCATGAGGCTTTTGGTATAAACGGCTGTAATCAGGCCTCCCGACATGCAATCTGGGGGCAGGCTTGGACACAAGGCATTCTGAGATATGCCCTGGGTGTGGCTCCCTAGATTTTACGGTCTCTTTAACTCTGGACTCGGAGTTGCCACACCTGTGTTTCACCTCAGCTCAGACCCTTGCTGGCTGTGTGACTGTGAGTTGATTTCTATCTCTGGGCCTCGGTTTTGACATCTGTACAGTGGGCCAAAATGCCCTCCTGCCCCAGAAGCAGCAAGCCCTGGGAAGTCTGGGGGAAGCCTTGGGATCAGTCTGTCCCGGATGTAGCAGGGAGGGGGTGCAACGTCTGTAGAGAAGTTAAGAACAATATCAAAACCAAATAGAAGCCGGTCTCCTTGTACTGATCCCCATGTGCCGGCAATTGTAAACAGAAACAGTGGTAAAATACTCCTTCCTGCCAGGGCAGGCTGTCCCCCACCCTGTGCCCACTGTGGTCTGCCGCTGCTCAGAGGGGCCGTGAGGTGGGGAGGGGAGGACAGAGGTCTGGCAGGAACCTCCTTCTTTCCTTTATGACCTGTCCCACTAGCCATTCCTGTGGCCCCACTGCAGACCCCCTTTGGCTCGCATTTTGTAGAATCACTTTCTCAGGGTAGATAAATGTTTTTCCTCGGAACTTGGAACTTCTTTGGGGGGGGCAAGTTCCAGCCTCACTGGGGGCTGTAATGGGTGAAGGAAGAGGGAGATGAAGGGGGCACGTATCATTTTGGGTCAGGAGGGAGGTGTAGCTTCAAAGGAGAGGAGGCTGGCACCGGAAGCGGCAGGGGGTCTGGTTCCTGAGCAAGGGGGCTGGTGAGGTCTGAGCAGGACCCAGCTTCTCATGGGGCTCACCCTTCTGGGGACTGTGCTTATCTCCCTGCGGAGTCACAGAATCAGAATGCCAGATGGGTTGGGGCGCCTGGGAGACTCAGTTGACTAAGCATCCGACTTCGGCTCAGGTCACGATCTCGCGGTTCGTGAGTTCGAGCCCCGCATGGGCTGTGCGCTGACAGCTCAGAGCCTGGAGCCTGCTTAGGATTCTGTGTCTCCCTCTCTCTCTGCCCCTCCCCTGTTCTCTCTCTCTCAAAAATAAATAAACATTAAAAAAAAATTTTTTTTTTTTAAAGAATGACAGATGGGGAGACTGAAGCCCAGGGGAGGAAGGAAGTCACACAGCCTATTAGATGTTGGGACACTGATCACACCGTCATTCCTTTCTTGTGTCACGTGCCATCTTGGTTGTGTCTTCTGCTAGCCAGAGCTCTCCCAAAGGTGGGGGTCCCTGTCCCCCTTCTCTACTATAGTGTCACTGAGCAGGGGACAGGACATGGGGGCAGGAGAAGCAAGTGCAAAAAGGTGTGGTTGGATTGCACAAGGACCGATTCTGTCACTCTTGGGATCCTCTATGCTCAGCCTGAGTCCTGATGCTTATACAAGGACCGGGGTTGGGGCTGGTGGGAGCCACTCACCTTGTCATCCAAAATGGGCTCGCACTGTGAGTAGTTGATCCGTGAAGCCCACGTCCCATTCTCCAAGCACTCTCTGTAGGCGTTCCCTACAAAAGATGCCAACCACCAAGGGGCAAGTCCCTCCTCTCCTCAAGAACACTCCCTGGCTCCCTGGGGCCCACAGGATGAGGGCCATACTTCTCAGCCTCTCTAAGCCAGGAAACACAACGCCCGTCTAAAAGTTCACGTGAAAGTCATTTATGTGAAGGTTGTGCAAAAGGCTGCCCACACGTGGCAGCTAAAAGGCATGATAAAACCCGTTTCTGACACAATCTGTGACTAGCATTGTGTATACTTTCTTCAATTGTATTCGAAACGGAACCTGACTGTGAGCCCTGGGTTGTGGCTGAAGATTCGCTGCTTTCAGCACACCACATAATTTCCATTCTTCTCTCATTTTATACTTATGAGATCTGTACCTTCCCCACCAGTACCAGCACTTCTGTTTTCGTAACTCTGGGGCACCTGGGTGGCTCAGTCTGGCACGTGTCTGACTCTTGATTTTGGTTCAGGATTATGGTCTTATGGTTCGTGAGATCGAGCCCCACACTGGGTTCTGCGCTGACACTGTGGAGCCTGCTTGGAAGTCTGTCTCTCTCTCCCCCTTTCCCCCGCTGCGCTCTCTTCTCTCTCTAAAATGAATGAGCGAATGAATGAATGAATAACAGCTACCATTCACATAGGCGTTTACCACAGACCAGAACCTCTTTTAACCGCTTTGGGTATTGTCCATTCAGTCCTCCCAGCAACCCCATGAGTAATATAAATCCATTTTACAGAGGAGGAAACTGAGGCACAAAGAGATTAACCTGCTTGTCAAGGATATAAAAATGAGAAGAGGTAGAGCCAGGCTTCAAATGCAGAAGGTCTAGCTTCGGGTTGCCTGTTCTTAACCCCTAGGCTGCTGAGCAGGGGTACACAGGAATGAGGCACGTTTGGGGAAACAGGACTGTGTTGCCAGACTTGAGCTGCCACTGCCTGGGAGAGCACCCCCCATGTGAGATCTCCCAGTGTCTGACAACCGGCCTCCCTATTAAAACTGGAACGTGATACGTGAAAAGACATTTCAGAGCACCGATGTCTGAGATATACGAGTGCAGGTTTTGTCAGCGGGGAATGTAGGAAGGCCAGAGAATGCTTAGACTTACTTTCCTTGAAATCCTAGCTTGACCGTCAGTCCTAGCTCTTAAGCCACCTCCTCCAGGGAGCCCACCCTCAACTACCACCCAGAAGGAACCCTCCCACCTGAGAACTCCAAAGCCCTTTGCCAGCCTCTGCTTTGCATCATTAGAGTGTATCTGACCTCCCCCACTTCGTTAGGAATCCTGAACGATCCACTGTTTGGGAGTGACATGTACTAGGGTTTTCTGCTCTCTGGCTAATGGGCAGTTGTTTGTAGATTTTTCTTTTGGGTTGATGTTAGATATATGACATAAAGCTAATTAAAATAAATAGGTCACAGAGCACAGAGTCACAGAGTTGGAGGGGGAAACTTGGGTTGTTTTTGGAAGCAGTGAGTTCTAAAATAATTAAGGTACTTAAAAAAAAAACCCACTTCTGTTGAGCTGACAGTTAAAAGCAATGGAATTATTGAGGGAGCACTTGCTAAGGAGCAGAAACAATGGGGGAGATTCTACTAGCTTAATTGTTTTTTAATTTGGTGCTCAGAGCTCCGGAGTTTTCAAATTCAGGGTCGTTACTGGCCTGTTCCTGCCTCCTGGGCCTGTCAGCTAGAGGCTGCCTTGGGCAGGGCTCTGGCCCTGGTGGGAGTCAAGGCGGTTCTGACCCCAACGTGAGGACACCAGCTCTTCGCCCCTCACCCGGGCACCCACATCCACTCTTGGCACCCTTGGGTTTTCTCATTCCTCAGGGTTGTTTTGCTACAGAAAGGTTGTGTGTTAAGAGAATTTGATGCACAGGGTTAGTGATGTTACTGAACTAAAGGACAGAGTGTGGAGTGAGTCAAAAGGACCCACGTAGAGGTATCCCGGGAGGACAGATCCTTTTGTAAGATGAACAATCCCTTTAGAGTCCCTCTCAACAGGCCTGGTTTAAAGCGCAGAACATTTATCTTCTGGGGATGTGTTCATAGATGTTATCCAGCTTTCCTGAAGTTCAGTGCTAAGCCCCTTCTTCCAGGAAGGCCTCTTTGATTGCTCCCATCTCACAGATTTCTCTCCCCTAAGCCCCCCCCCCCCCCCCCCCCCCCCCCCCCCCCC